TCTTTATAAATACTAAGTATTTCATCTTTCCCTTCCATAAATGATAATTAGAACCATTCAACAATATCATCTTCATCTTTGTATTTGACTCCATCATTCAACCAAGTAAAATAGCCCTTAACCAAGAGCTTTGATACCACTCTGATGGGAAATTAAGACACAATAATAGGCTAATACACAGTGGATATAAAACTAAACTTGTATGAATCTTGAGGATCAACAACAAATATAAGACGAAAAATCGAACAAATAGAGGCACAAAAGAATACCAATATTTTTAACGTGGAAAACCCCTCAATATGAGAGTAAAAACCACGAGTCATCCATACCAAAGAAATAATTCCACTATAATCAATTAAGGGTACAAGGGAGACTTAATGTGATTCACAAACTAGTGCTAACAACCGCAAATCACAAAGCAAACTAGCTTACAAATAACAATAAAAAAGCTGGAAACTTTTCTCAAATTTACAGCTTCAGTGCGAAGCAAATAACTTTCACCTCAGACGTTTGTTTTTTGAAATTCTGAACGATCAAAAGTTAGATATATTTGTTACGAACCTGCCCACCAAATTTGAGCTCGGCCCAACGGTTAACGAGTTGGGGATCGTCGATTTAGTGAGACTGGTTGCAGAAAAACGGGAATGAGTTTCTCTCCTCTTTTCTCTCTTTTGAATCCTTATTTTTTTCTCTATCTCTCTCCATCATAAATTGATCTTATCCACTTAAATAAGTGAAACAAATGGATTAATCATATTTGGGTCTTTCTCCAAATAGGATGGAAGCTCAAACCCAACAGATATCTCCATTTTAGTTTAAAAGGTAATGGTTCAAATCAATTAAGTACCAGTTTTTTTTTATTTTGAATATATTTATGGAGTTTATTTTAACATGCCTTGACTAAGTCAACCATTGTTTGAGCATTGACTTTGATTAAAAATTAGATGTGTTAAAAAATAGGCGTTGACTAAGTCAACCATTGTTTGAGCATTGACTTTGATTAAAAGTCAATTGTGTTGAAAAAGATCCTTTAGATTATTTGAGTTTTTTAGGCATATTTTAACAAATCTCCATGTTGACTCAAAACTGATATGATGTTAATTTAACCATCAACCATGTTGCTCTCTCCAAAGTTGAATTATTATTTAACAAACTTTATTAAATCCAAGTCACGCTTGAACATCTTGCCACTTGCATCCAGTTGCACACAATCACTTTTCTACTTTGGTAGTCTAGCAAGTCCACAAGTATGGTTCTTCAACCATCTTTGACTCCTTTTCCTTTTGAGTGCCTCCCTCAAGGTTTGTTTCCGAGTCTTTCAACCCTTCAACAATTCAAAACATAACAACCAAGGTCAGCATAAATGTATCCTTGAGATGGAAAATCTCCCTCCTTACATTATCATGAGTCAAATGATAATCATAGGCCACTATACAATTTTCTTCAATAGAACTAGTATCTCTAGTAGGAACCTTCACCTCAAACTAACTTTCTCCTCCATTAGGTTCTAATACCTTCATTTTCAGGTTTTTACTTTTTCTCCCCTTACAAGTCTCATTGAAAGTAATACATTTATGTATGGTGAACTTTGATCCTTTATATTCCACTTACCATAACTTACAATTCTTCTCATTGAAAGTAATACATTTGTGTATGGTGAACTTTGATCCTTTATATTCCACTTACCATAACTTACAATTCTTTCCACCTTCTGAATGACCATTTAAGACACCTTATACAACTTTACTATCAAGTTGGACTAGCTTGATTTGCACAAATGAAAAAGCTTATAAGATTTTTTTTAAAATTAGATTAGTCTAGAGGTTTCTTACTCCAAACTTTCTTTGGTGTCTAGAAATGTATTATTGTGAATAGACATATGTCGATCAAGTAAATTTTTTTGTCATCAGGCTTACCTTAGAAAGTCACTAGCAACAAAACTCCTAGCATCATGGCAGAAGCGGTCAAATACATTTTTATCCATTATCTTTTGCAAATTCATTAAAGTGTTCTAAAATAACCTCTAGACATATACCATGTCTTGCCCTCAAATCTCATAACTTAGTCTTATCATGAAAGTTTTCACTAGCTAGTGATGAATGACCAATAAAATTGAAACCATCTAAAATATATAACCCACGTGTTTGATACCTTTTAACCATGATATCACTACCAAGCGAAGTTCTAATGCCTTGTGTCCAGCTCTAGTGCACTCGCCTAATCATTAAACATACTTATGAACAAAAAAATTTCTTAAGCTCGAGAACATTTCTCACATTGTGTAGCAGGATTTCATGACCATCAAATAGATAAAGTCCTACTGTACCAACATCGTGAACCTTGCAAGCCTGATTGTAACAAAGTCAAATGCTTTCATCATTTTCCAACTTCAGCGTTTAAAAGTATTTTTCTTTAGGCACATGCGATAAGATCATCTTGAGTCCATGATCCAACTCTTTTCATTCTTCAAACTTAACAACACTAGTGCACTATCAACACTCGCATAAGTATCCTCATTAGAGGCAACTGCAATCTGAACATAAACTTCATCGTCCTCTCTCTTGGGAAATTATTTTTGAAATGACTATTTTTCTAACAAATAAAGCATTTAAACATTGACTTATGAAACCTCCTGAATTTGGACATCTTTCTACGCTTACTTCCTTCTCTTGAAACACTTAAGTATTCACTACTATTATTAATCTTCAAATCTATCACCTCTAAAAATTCCTTGGATCTCATAGTCGTATGGATTTTATCAAAAGTAATAGTACATTATTTACCCTAAAAAAGAGAGTCCTTGAAATGCTCAAATGATCAGAGTAATGAGTTTAATAAGAGTATATCATTTTTCTCATCAATAATCATCACCATAATATTCTCCAGATCATCAACGATCTTGTGAAATTATGTCAACTGTTCCACTATAGATTTGTTCTCTATCATTCTAAAATGAGTAGATTTGTTGTTACAAACACAACTTGCGAGCTAAAAAACTTGGTCACTTACAATTATACAAGTTTTGTCCATATTTAAGTCGCATTCTTCTTACTAACAATTTTTCTTAGAACTTTATCCATAAGGCATAAGATAATGATACTCTTGGTATCACCCTTCAATACTTCTACACACTTATGTTAAATTATTATTGTTTACTTATTCACTTTTCACAATCCAAAATTGTTGTCTCCGAAAAATTTCTCGGTGTCTAATTTAGAACCCATGGTGCTCTCTGTTGAGATTGGTTGAAAATATACATGTTGTTACTTTTTATGGTGGAGTATGATTGTCGATGAAGATAATGAAAACTCATGTATTATTTTCAATCAAGATGGAGATTGTTGGGGTTTGTTGAAAATATACTTGTTGAAAAAGTCTCACATCGCTTAGTTATGTGAATGGAGATTTCAAGGCTATATATATATGATACAAGTTCTTCATTCTAATCTGCATTAGTCAAAAACACTTTAACCTTGTATTTGACTTTCTTTGTTCTCTTGTACTCTTGTATTAGAGTATTGTGAAATGTAGTTAAATATTTATTTCAGAAGGTGTAAGTGTATTGGGGGTTTGAGTTAATTGAGAGTATATTATGTGTTGTAACAATTTTTACAGTGTTATTCTATGGTTGTCTATCAACAACGCTATTGGTTTGTATTTCGATTTTGGAATTTTCACGTTATATTCTTGTGTTGGAATTGTGTTCCTCTTTTTTTTTATACTTTGTTTGTTTTATTAGAACACTCTCTTCTAAACTTGCCATTTTTTTCCATAGTAAGTGTCACTTGTGAAATTTAATGGTTCAACCACACTATTTTTGTGAAAATTCAACCATAATATTAACCACACCAAGAATAATGAAATGTGGGGAAAAAACTATGACAACCAAACTAAATGGTCTCAAGCAAAAATTTACTTGTAAAATAGTGTAACCAAATCCACAACAAGAAAAAGATAAAAGATGAGTACACAAAATTTATCTATCTAATTCAATCAAATCAATCTATCCTAGGGGAGAGAGCGCTCTCCGATTCACTATATTTTCAAAAATTGATACAATAGATTACAAATGAGTTATTAGAAAATAGTCTCCCAAATTTTCAAAAACGAATTTTATTTTCTACTCAAAGTGTTTCTCAATCTCTTTAACTCTCTATATATCAAACAATTCAATCTCATTAAATACCTTCAAAGATCTAGCGAATTTCAAAAGCTGCAAAAAAATTGCACTTCCCTCTCTAACTAAGATTATCACGAATAATTTTCTCATACTAACAAAAATGATACAAACTCATATTTCTAATATCCTAAAATCTTAATGGGTTAGATATCCCAATCCGATCCACAAATCTGCTCAAACTCCCATGGATGAATTGAATCATTGGCCTATATTAACTCTATAACCATTAACCTAATCAACTCATTGACCTAGTCAATCCATTGATTGTTGACCTATCAACTTGTTGCGTCTTGACTAGGCATTGACTTTGACCAAGGTCAACTGTGTTGAAAAAAGTTCCCCCTAGATCATTTGACTTTTGAGACATAATTCCACAAAAGTGCTTCTTTGGTCTTAGTGAATTAGTCTTAAATTATCATATACTACTAGTAAATAGGTATAGAGGGAGTACTATTTTATCATGTAACCAAAATGAGCTCTTCTAAACTCACGCTAAAAAGAAAATAAATAAATAAATAACTCTTCTAACTAACTTTAAATCGTTCTCAAACAAATTAATTTTTCAATCAACAACTCTTTCAGAATATAAATAAAGTTAATAGTTGGAACAAAAGAATCCATTTTTGCAACTATGTCCATGTCTATAGCTCTGTACTTTTTCTTCCGTTTGAAATATTATAAACAACAAAATACATGAAGACTGAAGCATAAATGTTCTGCAAACATATATAACATAAACAATAACACCTCTGCGTTAGGTTCAATATTTAGAGACAACAAAGTTACTTATTTCAGGTTATTTGAAACAATTTACTCCACATCAATTTGGTCCAAGAATAACACGCTGCCAACGAAAATGAAGTTAGGGAATTAACATTATCAGGAAAATGCATTAAAGAAATCTCACATTAGTTTATAGAAAGAAACTGAACTATTCTTAAACTAAAACCTACAATTTAAAGACAACTAGTATAAAAATTTAAGAGTGTACCTTAATCTGTGTCCTTTTATATGTATAGGTGATATGTATTAGCTCATCACTAGCTTGAATAACCGCGGGATATGAGAATTCCATTCCAGATGAATCCTCCAATGTGAGAGCTTCATACCATGAATCGCCATCATCATTTGAGAGTGCAACTTTAAGCACGCCCCTCGATGTTGTATTATAAACGAGCAATATGCGTCCATCTCTAAGCTTAACTCCATCAATACCTAGTAACATTTGTAATTCGTGAATCGAATTTTGTTATGAATCTTAAGATACATTGCCAATATATAGCTAGCAAAACTGACCTGAATTTGGGTTAGGGAGCTGAGTAGGTTTTGCGCGTCCCCAAGTCAGGCCACCGTCCGATGATTCAGACATACATACTCTATCAATGCCTTCGAAGGATCGTAGTAAGACGCGTAATTTCCCGTCTGCAGTCTGGTAAGGTACTGGTTGAATCACACTTAGAGGTTTGTTTTCGATGTAAATTGGGCCATGCTTGCTCCATGACTTGCCAAAATCTGTTGTGACCTATTATTGCACACGAAAAAACAATAAAAGTCAGTCGGCCAACATTTTCAGAGCATCATTGAAACAAACCGCAGAACTAGGATTGGTAAAGTTAATAAAACCTCCACCCAAGCGCCCCATGAGTTCCAGCTTTCAACAGATGATCCACAAATCAATTGGCCATTTTCTAGCAAAATAGGCTGAGAAGTAGTAATTCGAATTCAGCACTGGTAAATAATACATAGATCGTTTGACGAATAGATTGAAATAGATCGTGTTATACCTTATTCTTTATAGGTCCTAATATACCAGGAGGAAGTTGTTCTCTTTCTGTCCAAGTAATTCCTTTATCATACGAGCGTTTGACAAATCCACTCCATCTGAAGTCAAACAAACTAAGTATACTAACGCGAAAGGGAGACAAATAACAAACTCAAACTAACACGGTGCCATAACAAATGAATGTGGTAAGATGACAAAATTGTAAGCTTTACTTCTGAACTTCTTGGCCTATCTTGTAAAACAAAAGTAGCTCATCAGATGGAAGTTTGAATAGCACAGGGTTCCACATAGGAACATTTGGTTGTTCATCAGCTATTGCCGGTGATTCCCATCTTCCATTCTATCCACAAAATTTGTATTCAGAATTTCAATGCAGCATCCAAAATGTTAGAGCTAAATACTCTTACAAAGACCTATGAAGCACATACACCAGAAACACGACACTGTCACTGACACCGATTATTTACCTTGTAAGTTTGCAACCATATTTTGACATCAGGTGCTCCTTCTGATGACCCCCCAAAATAGGCAACCAAAAAATGATCCTTACCAACCTGCAGAAACCAAACAACATTGTAATTATTGAGTCTATTTTCCAAGATAACATCTTTTTATAAGGGAAAGTTTAAATTTTGATTCCATAACCTCAACAATGGTAGAAGCATGACAGCTCTTGAAGGGAGCTGAGCCTTGAAGAAAAGTTAACTCTTCTACCAGTGGCCCCTTTAGAGGACAGTTGTTTGCCATTCCTAAAAGCTAAACTTGTGCAGTTGCGGGGTTTTGAAACAATCTCCTGCAAAATATTTTGATTTGCATTGGTTTTTGCCACAAAATGGCTTCAAAATCACCTTCCTACAGTGCATAACTGTCTAGATTTTTACATGCAAATCACAGAGTGCATTGACTTCAATATATGGAGAATAAAAAGCAGAGAAAAAGAAAAAGATTGAAAAGAATGTGAGTGTATCTAACCACGCAGAATTAGCGAACTCGGATGCCCTTTTCAGACAGATCCGGTGATCTAAGTTCTCAATTCAACGATTATAGTTGCGTTTATTTATTTAAGGCTTAATTAGACTCGTCCCTTAAATTAAGTCTTTATTTCATGTTCTCTCTTTATCGAGTCGTTTGAAAAAAGAAAAAGGAATTAAGTGATATCCCTTTCTTGGTCGGTGGCATTATAAGTGAAAATTTTGTTGAAATAATTAAAATTTTTAGGAAGAATGAGGAATTTGAGAGAATAAGAGAGAAATTAAAATATGAAAATGAATGATATTTAATACTTCTCTTCAATTTATTAAACTTGACATTTTTTAGAGGTTTGGTGACTATGTTAGGTAGTTTTCATTCTTATTTGTAATGTTTAAGTTTAAGTTTTTTTTTATTCACTTGATCTTTAAGGAAATGATACATTCTCTCTATGTGTTTACTTCGACCATGATACACAGGATGACTTTTCAAGTCGATAGCTTACTTGTTATCAATAAAGAGTTTTATTTTCTTAGGTTCCATGATCTTGAGCTCTTCGAGCAATATTACTATCCACACTATTTGATATGTTGCATAGGATGCAGCCATATACTTAGCTTCACAAGATGGAAAAGTCACAATGCTTTGCTTTTTTGAGCTCCTAGAGATTGGAGCACCTTCAATCATGAATATGTAGCCTACAATACTCTTCTTCTCGTCATGATCTCCACAGAAGTTTGAATCAGTGTAGCCATGTACCTCTGCATTTATGCTGGTATTCTTTTGTCTTGACATTAACACACCATGATCAATTGTACCTTTTATGTATCTCAACAGTCTTTTAACTACAGTCAGATGACATTTCTTGAGATTTCTCCATGAATCTGCTCAACAACCTGACACTTTGTCAAATATTTGGCCTGGTGTTGCATAGATACCTTAAGGATCCAATGATTTGTTTGTACAATGTTGCATTTACAAATTCATCATTTGTATCCTTTCTCAATTTTTCTCCATTCTCCAATGGTATGATAGTTGTGTTATAATTGTTCATCTGAAACCTTTTCAAGATATATTGGGCATACTTCTTCTAGTGCAGAAACACTCTTTTACTTATGTCTTTAAACTCCATTCATAAAAAAATACGACAAGTTTCATAGGTCGGACATTTCAAACTCCTGCATCAGTTCCGACTTGACCCTTTTTATTTCTGCTTCGTTTACCTTATTAAATAGCGAGTCATCCACATACAAACATATAATGACTCGAGTGAGTGTGCTTGAATTGTTGACATACACTTCATGCTCTGAAGCACATTTGGTGAAACCTACCATGATCAGGAAGATATTTATTCTTATTCCAAACCATTGAGGTTTGTGAATCCCTTTATTCTCTCTTTTTGTATGGTACCTTGTATGAATGATCTTATCCTTATAATCTCACGATTATGGGTGCAAGTGGATCATAAAAAATCAATTAAACTGACCATCCAAACCAAACCAAACCTAAATAAAACTTATTGTTTCTGGTTCGGTTCTAAAATCAAGTTGAACTAATGAAAACCGATGTGGTTTGGCTCGAATCTCAGTTTTAGTTTTTAGAAACCGTCAAACCGATGAACCAGACCAGTCGATATAATTACGCTTTAAATCTTTTATTCCAAACATTCTCCATATTTGTTTATAATTTCTTCCTTTCAACAAAAACATACATCTAGAATCAAACTCCAAAGCATAAGTCACAAAACTTGCTTTCACTAAACTGGTGCTCTCATTGTCCATCACAAGTGTTTCTCTCTCTACCGTCGTTCTAATATGTTATGGTCTTCTTCTTCGCGCTTAAGTTCTCTTCGTTAATTTTCATTTTTTAACCTTTTATGTTTATTCTTCTTCAACAAAATTTCTTCTAGTCTTGTTACAAAATAGTTTTGATGTGTGTTTGAGATGTAAATCATGTTAATTGTTGTGTTATTTACTGTGTTCTATTTGTTAAGCTTTTGAATGCATTCTCAACCTTCTAATTCCAAGTGCCAACTTTTATATTTGATAGTGAACTTATTTCATGATGCAATAGAAATCATGTCACTGTTTCATATGGATCAAGAGACACTTATAATGTGTTCAAAAAATTAAGCATGAAATAAATTACATGAAATGTAGTATTTTAGAAAATAAAAGCATAAAATACACCGAAAAACACGATAGTGGACAATACACAAATGAATATAATATTTGAAAAAAAACACTGTAAACCGGTCAACCTAAATTGAACCAAACCGGCTAGTTTGGTTCAGCTTCATTTTTTAAAAATGTTAAAACCAAACCAAACCAAACCGATATATATATATATATATATATATATATATATATATATATATATATATATATATATATATATATATATATCATCGGTTCATACCTCTTTTGACCAAAAACCGGTCCAAACCAAACTGATTACATCCATACTCACGGTGAATTAACAAAATCGTTATAACTTATCCATCACTAAATAACTCACTAATCACTACTCGAAACTTCCTATTCCTAGTCCACCAGTGTAAGAAGGATTAGGCGATGTACAAAACGTTGATTCCCCAGGTCACTACTCTGGATCTCCTATCCTTATTCAACTAGCATAAATAGAACAGTTGCCCTAGGTCCAACGCATAGGCTAAAGGTCAGTAATCCCTATGTATCCAATTTCAGATTAATTGATAACACTAAAACACGTAGTTCATTTTGACTCAATTTGCATACGTTTTAGTGTCGTTGTACCATATTTTATAGTGTTGTATTGGTAGTTTATACATGTTTCAGGTACTTTAAAAGTAGAAGTTGTTATGTGAAGAAACCGGACGAAAACGGTGAGAAACAGTGAAAATACGGCGAAAATACACTAGTAGCGACCTTCGTGGCGTCTGTCATTGTACTAACCATGACTAGGATGGCATGGGACCCACAGGAAAGAGGATTTGAAGCAAAAAGACAGAGTCAATGACCCATGGCGCCCACCACAAGGGCCACGGCGTCCGCCACCCCTTGTAAAATGGCCACCATGGAAAAATTACACTCACGGCACTCGCCACAGTGCATGGCGCCCATCATGCACTTCGTTTCCTGAAAAATAGCAACGAAAAATGGCTCAGTCTTCTCCTACTTCACTTATATTTGCTCTCTTGATTTTTACAAGTTTGAACATGATGTTATGCACTTGTAACACTATAAAAAGGTAATTTTATTATATTTTTGGTATCCAAGTCTTATGCAAGCATATCAATTTTTAGTTTTAAGCAGAAATTCATCATTGTAAAGTGGTAGCTTTCTCACATCGAGGAACTACTACACCTTAGTGTTTTTAGGAATTTGTTGTACGCTTGGATCAAGTAACCTTGCCATCATTCGAAGTTTAATTCAAGTTATTTCCAACTTTGCATTTGAGGTTCATTTAATTTACAATTTCTTTACTTTTCAACTTTTATTTTAAGTCATTTATATTCTGCAGATTTTACTTTATGTTTTTTTACAATTCATGCCTTATTATTTTATTTTAATTATTATTGCTCTGAGTTCTTGTTTTATTCCTTTAATTCATCTGCATCCCTTGCTATCATTCATTTTAAATCGTTTATCATGTATGTGTTTGATTTGAACGTTTATAATTATATGTTTATTTCTGCAACCATGTCCGACTAAATTTCTAGAGTCCGAATGTGAGCACCGTCGTTTTGACGGGACTCGATAAATTAATTTAGCGTATAATTTTAATATTAATTTATTTTTCCGATTCTGATTTTTAGTTTTAAAATCATAACATTTTGCGCGAGAGCGAAAACACTCAGGTACTAGTCAACAGGGCGACAGTGTGAGACCCGTACCCAATTTTCATACCCCAAATTTTGACCCCTAGGTTCCATTACCATTCTAGGAGCATCAAGCATTGTTTCCTAACCCTAAACTTATTTCAAGTTTGTTGTTGTTGAGATCCATCTGAATTAGGGTTTTACACCTTGGGAATCAAGAGGACTATTGCTTAATTAGTCAATGTTTTGGATTGGTAATCATCAAATCAAGTTTGCATACATTTAAGGAGCTTATATTCAACAAGAATCAAGTGATAATTGATCTCATTGCAAGTCAATTGAAACCCAATTTCATCTGGCTCCAAATTAGGGTTTTGTCAAGAAAAGTCTATTGTGCCTTTGAATTTTGATCCAAGCATGATCCCAAGCTTGGAAAATAATTCAAAATGTTCATATACATCCTTAGAGCCTATCTAGGATTCTTGAGAAGTCTCAAGATGCAAATTCATTAAAGATCACACAGTTGAATTCACCTGATACAAAATTCATCTGACAAAGTCAACTCTTTGACTTTTAGGTTTTTGGTTCAAATTGAAGCTTCCAAGCCAAATTTCATTAAAATGTATTTAATCAATGAGTTTGATCATGAAGAAATCAATATTTGAGAGGTTTCTTGTAAAATAAGAAAACTTGGATAACTTGAATTTTTTCTAAGTGTGGGAAGAAACCCTAATTTTGGTACCAACTTTGAGAGGTCATAACTTTCAATCCATACATCCATTTTTTGCGTTCTTAATATCAATTCAAAGATCTCCTCATGTAACACAAAAGTGTCCTAGTGACCTATAAGCAAAATATGTTTATATTTTGAGTTATGAAACTTCAAAGTTTGGAAAAATCTTTAAACACTTGGAAATTTCTCAAGACTGCTTTGTTACTTCAATTTTCAGCCAACTACAAGGCCAGTTTTCATCATGAT